TGGGAAAGGGGCTGCATATCTTCTGTGGGGAGGCCACATTCTCGGTTTTCTTTCCCTAGTGATGCGATGTAGGTCTGAGCCGTCAAGGTGATGGAAATTAGTACAGGCGCTGATCCGCGGGCCTGATGGACACGTGTGCTGGCCCGTGAGCACTCCAAAGATCTCCCTTCTCCTCCTCCTCCTCCTCCTCCTTCTTCTTCTCTGTCATCTCTCTGTTTCTCCCATGGTTTTTCCTCCCATGGTTTATTATTACGGTATAATCGCTTCCATCTGCCTGTCAAGCCACCGGGTAGACGGAGATCAGGAACAAAAGACAGTGAGAGCGAGACAGAAAAAGAGGGCAGGAGGGATTTTTCTCTCCAATACAAACAGGTCTCCTCCCTCCCCTCTCCTCCTCTCAAAGTCCCTCGTCAGACCGACTCTGAATGCTGCAGTCACTTCTCTCTCTCTGTCAGGGATATCATAATTCAGCATGACTTCTGGACAGCTTCATGCACAATTAGGAATTCAGCGGCTCTGGGCAAGAAAATGTGATTCAAATTAGTGCTGTATTACATTACTGTTTACTCATGATCTCGGCTGCCATCTCACACCCTCTCAGTTTCTCTTCGACGCCGGTTTGTGTGCGTGTGTTTGGATGCATGAACGCACTTTCATGTATAATGTATACACCCAACAGGAATTCATTTATAGAAGGAAGCGTTTTCCAATTTGGGTTGCTATCAACTGGCAGCGCTGCCAGTGAAGTTGAATCTAACAACATAAACACATAGAAACTTGTTATGCTGTTCTACTCCCAAATCACACGGCAATAACCGGTAGCAATCAGCTGTGATGCAAACAAATGTGTTTGATGTACATCTTGGGTCAGCAGAGGGGCGAGGGAATACTCGCTAACAAACCACACAGGACCCCCAGCCCTCTGATCTCCAGATCAGATTAGCCCATCGACCAATTACAGCCAATCAGAGCCAATTAAACCCAATTATAACCAATCATGGATAATTAGAATGCCCCAGAGATTGATAGCTCGGAGAGATGAGGCAGCCGGCTGTCACTTTCAAGAAACCGTGACACTCATCGTTTCTTTTCGTTTTTAAATTCCACTCTGTCTTTATCCAAAACTCCACTCTGGATCTTTCTGCTGACTTCAAAAGACGTCACGATAACAGAGCAACATAGAAATGCAAATAACAGAGCTCTGACTCCTTTTGGCTCCTACTTCTAATCTGTGTTCAGTCCATCGCTGCTTCCAAATTACGGAGGTTCCCGCCGAAAGCTGAAACACTGAAATGAATGAGTGCTGATCTGCAGTGTGCAGTTTCCCCCGCCTGGTTTTTTCCCGCTGCTTTTCTTATATGTACGACCACTCTGACTGTCAGCCATGTACCACAAAACAACCAGCTCCTTGACAGCAGGGTATTTTAGTAATGTGGTTTGCGAACTTCAAGAAACAGAAGGGTCTACTTTTATACTCAAGTTTATTTCAAGATGAATGTCCTCAAAAATATGTATCCGTGTATTTCCAGGGGTTTCCCTATATATGGTGAATGTTTTTGCAATAGTTCAAGACCTCTCGCTGGGTGCGATGGAATGTCCATGGGTTGTGTTTTTGCACGGCTTTGAGTTTCGGACTGCCAGTGTGCTGATGTTTGACTTGGATTGATACGAGTTATACGAAGACATATTTCAACTTTCTAGACATTACACAGACACGGGCTAATGTGGAAAATGAAACAGGACTTCAGATTTAAGTCAGGCTGACATTCTTGAGCTCCACAGGTCCGTCACGTTCGTCCATCAAACCACAGGGCTCCTGTCAGTCAAAAGGTCACCCTCTGACCGGGTCCTGTCCTGACTCTTGTTATCATTCAGTCCACTTAAAGTAGTTAGAGTCAAGTTTTTATTTCAACAGTTCTATTTTCCATTCCACGGAGCAATTGATGCTATCGGTTTGATTAAAATCACTGCTCAGATATTTGGCTCTAATGGCTGACAGAGAATAATGAGGCCTGTTCCAGAAAAAGTCCAGCCAAGATAAAGTGCATAAAGTGCAAGTGCAAAAGCAAAGTCTTTTGCTGTTTTGAGCATTTTGAAGATTGAAATAATTACTATGAAATACTCGCATAAAAGCTTCCTTCTGTTTCACTTTGTCAGATTTCCAAGATAGCGCCTGCAGCGTTTTCTGTTTGCATGGGAGTTAAGGCGGACTGAAATAACCCCGTCATCAAAAAGGGTGCTGACCTAACTCTGGATGACCCCGACCATTGTTAATCCACTTAGATTTTAATTCTTTTAATTGTCTTTTCTTTCATTAGTCAGTCTTTCCATGCCTTTTTTGAGCCTTCTCTATGTTTCCTCTTTTCTGTTGGGTTATATAAGTTCATATATATCAGTGAGGAGGTTTTGAGTGGGTGGGTGGGGGGTTCAAAGGAAACTTGGAGGATAAACAAACAGACTTGCAGAACCGTAGAAGGCTCGGCACTGATTGCCCGTCTTAGATTGACTCTGCCCTGGTTTATTTGTCTATGTCAGTGAGATAAACATCACAGTAACCCTCGGACAAGAAAAATGAACCTACAAGAGGATGAACACACACACTGCTGAGCAAAACCACTTACACGTGTATTCCTGTATATGCCAAGATGTGGAAATGTGTCCACAGACACATAGGCACTCTCTTTTTTTACCCACTCATACACATACACATTCCTTCATGCCTTCCCTGGCCCCTGCCATGAAGAGACCTCTGTAAGAGCTGTCAATCAACGCCGGTCACCATGGAAGTGACTCCAGCTCGTAACAAAGACCCTTAAGAGTTTCTCACAAGGCAAAAGGAAGGCACACAGAGCAAAACAACAAAGAAGAGGACAGAAACAGACAGCAAGGGACTCTCAGGGAGACACATCAGCGCTCGCGAGGCTCAAAGATTGACTGACTTGAGCGAGTGAGTCGGCACACAGATGAAGATTGAGTGAAAGGATTTGATGGACAAATTAGACAGAAACATATTGAGATAAAGAGGCTGGGAGGCAGAGTTGAGAAAAGTTGGCAAAGAAAGACAGAAAGGGGAAGATTATCTGCCAGGCGTCCCATCAAGCCTCATTAAACGCTGCTCGAAACCTCTTTGATATTTACACATAGCGGCGTAAAAAAAAGCCAAATCTTTCCTAACTCTCAGTACATTTAAAGATTTCAAAACCATTGTGGATGGTGGTTGGCTGAGGTGACAGAAAGCCAGAGGGAGCGTGGGACTGTGGGTCGAGAGGTGAGGGGTCAGCGGGTGCGAAGGAGGCCTGGGCGAAGAGCCTGTGGCGGCAGGGTCAGATGGGTGTGTGGGCCTTGGGCAGAGTGCCAGGCTGAATGTCACTTGGGTGGGCTCAGAGTGGGTCTGAGGGGCATGAGGTGGAGGGTGGAGGTCCAGCAGGGAGGGGTGGAGCAACACTTGGAGAAAATCTTAAAGTCAACTGAGCAACTAAGTAACTGAATGTGATGCTTTATTGTCTGTTTTCACACAGCAGCCATTTTCTTCTGACATCAGCTGAAATGCCGTCATAATGTCAAACTGTGTGATCATTTTCTGCTAAATGATGAGTATCAGACTGAAAAATGTGTCCTAACCCCACTCAGGGTTTGATTAGTTACTTATGAATTTGTTTTAAGTGGAAGTCCAGTGGTGTGTACACCTAAACCCTGTAGAGGGTTTCACAAAATCATCTTGATTATGTGGCAGACTTGACCCTGACTGCAGGGAACTATTATCCGAGCTAGCCGGCGGGTTTTTCCCATCCATTTTTCTTAAAGGTGTAGAAGTTACCAGCATCCATTGTGGCTAATATTCTTACTAGTGACATGAAACTTATTCAATCCTGCTTTGAAAATACTAAAATATCCCTCATTTTGTGTTACCTTCAACCATGTAGGTAGGGCTTTAGAGTTGTGATAGCTCTGATAAATTAGCAGTGAAATCTACTTTAAGCTTCATGTTTTTACAATGACAACACAAATATTTAGCCCTGGTGTAAAAGTGAATATTATCATCTTGTCCATAGTCTGTATATACTAAAGACAACTTGGTTCCACCTTCCGCCAGTATACAGATTTGAAGCCAAAAAGCTCTCTGTATTTCCATGTTTTTTTATCCACTTCTTCAAACCAACATTGCGCAGTCGCATTGTACGCATTCGGCAGGAGAGTCGCTGTGATGACGCTCGGCTCAAACAGTGTATCCTCCAGGTGAGCTACATATTCTTCGTACACCCATAGGCTGTATCAAGAGTCAATTATAGAAAACATGAACAGACGGCGTCCATTCTATATACAGTCTATGTTCTTGTCATCTTGTCTAACACTATAGTAGATGTCTCAGTTTCAAGTTAGTGTTCGCTAGTTATTTCATTCCATTACTTTTTGATAGAAAGTGGTCCAGCATAAGCATAAGCCACTGGTGTGTAATGAGTTATTAGATGACAACAGCAAAAAGTAAAATTCTGCATCAGTCCAGATTTTTATAACTCCTTGTCTAATCAACTGCAAAGCGGTGAAAGAAGCCTATTAATGGTTTTCAGAAACTGTATAAATACCAAACTTAATGAGACAATGACAATATGAAGGTGTTTCAGATGGACCTTTGGACATTAAAGATCTCCTTCTTCTTGACTTTACATCTAATATAGGCTAATCACACGAAATGCAATTGCCTGATAAATTACTGTGATTGGTTGAGTTCGCAGTTTTTAGCCAACTTATCCTAGTTTGAAGACAAGTTAGAGTGTGTTTCATAGGTGTTGCATAAAGATGAAGATGCAGATGTCTGTCTGGCGTCCCTGTCCAAGAAGAAGAAAGAGAAAAAGAACTTTATTTAACCCGTAAGGGAAGTTCAACTGTCTGTCGTCTCATTTGTCATGTCTAAAAAGTCATCTAGAATTTATAGAAGAGTTGTACAGTCTGATGGCTGTTGGTACAAAAGATCTTCTGAATCTTTCTGTCCTGCAGCGAAGAGAGAGGAGCCGTCCACCATCATTGGCTCTTTGGTCCATCAAGGTGTTGTGAAGTGGGTGATCCATGTTCTTGAGAATAGTCTCCACCTTCTTCTGAGTACATCTCTCCACCACATCCTCCAGTGAGTCCAACTTGAATTCAAGAGCGTTTCTTAGACTCAATGACCTTAGAAAAGAAAAAAGAAAAAATATAGCCACAGTGGGCACAGATTTGGCTGAACTTTGATTAAGAATCATTCCTCTATAGTACCATTATACATCAGCAGGATAGCACAGCAGTGTCACATTGTGACAGAATCTGAACTAAATAATCAACGTGAGGTAAAAACCCAGCCCTTTAATGCCTTTTGTATCATATTTGATACTTTTATGATACTTCTGTCAAATCAATGTGATCAACAAATTACTGAAAAAAACACCTGAATACAGTCCAATAAATGATCAAATGTCTTCTTGTGGTTAATCAGTTTCCAAAAACATCTAATGTGTCCCATGAGATAAATATATATTTGTTAAATTTTGAGGACATTTAGATTTTTTTGTTTTTAGTAGTAAGTGAAATAAACATTTCAGCTCCAAAAGAATCTCAATTTTCTGGCCATAATTTGTGGTTTCAGGCATTAAAGGACTAGATTTCAGCAACATAAAAATGATAAGAGAGTGAAACATCCCTGATTTAAGTACTTTGTAAGCCTTGATACCAGTTTCTGATCTATTAGTCAGCTCACTTTGGAGACAGTACATATTTTGACCATAATGTAATGACTCATTATTGACTTAAACTAGACTACAATGTTAAGACTTTTGGTTGACTCACAAGGCCTTCTCATTGAAAGACCAAGACTGCGAAGATTACCACTGAAGAAAATGCCCTGTGAATGTAGTGAATAAAATCTGAAATAACTAAGTTAGCAGAGGAACCTCAGAGCTTGTAGAACAGTTTAATGTTGAGCTAAAAGAGTTTAAATTACATGACGTAAAAGAGAAGCTGGTCGCAGCAGGGTTTATGGCAGAAATAAACATTTTGACTCAGGGTAAATCACCCTTGTAGAGAAACAGTTTCCCTCTCTTCCTCCCTTACCTACAAACACACACAAACACACATTCTCATACATCCTGTGCCCACTTCAACCTGGTTTTAAAACACTTTTCTCCCCAGTTCTGATGGAGACAGAACCAAGAGGCAGTCAAGCTGTTCCTTAAGAGCCGGTGACACCGTGATACAAACCAGCACAGAGCGGTGACAGACAGAGTGAAAGGCAGAAAGAGAGGGGAGGAGGAGAGACAGTGAAAAAAGACAGAGGCCTTCAGTGGACAAGAAAAATACCCATGGAGAAAAAAGAAAGAAAGAAAGAAAAAGAGCGAGAGTTTCTGAAAAGAGGCTGAGAGAGAGGAAGCGAGAAAAGCGGCCAAAGAGAAGGAGAAGGAGTGAGAGGCAGAGAAAAAGAGAAAGAGGGAGAGTTAAAGAGATTACTTTCAGGTTCAGAGACGCTCTTTCTGGCTGCTTACTGGCTGTCACTCAGTGCCTGGCTCCTAGGGGGAGGGACGGCTGGCTCTCATTGGTGTCATTCACCTGTCTGTCAGCCTGACAGGCGGACCATAGGGCCCCATGTTGTGGTGCGGAAACTGTCTGTCAGCCACGCAGCAGCTGCAAATGACATCATCCAAGATCAGGTTAAGAAACACGCATACACAAACTGTGCATGTGTGTTAAAGAGCAAACACACACATGCATGTGAAATTTTGAAAGTCAGACTACAGTAATAACACACACACACAAACACATTGAGCTGCCTGACAGCACACATCCACATTATGACACACAGCTCCCAGTGGACTGCACCTCACACTCTCTCCAATCCCCTGGCTGTCCTCCCCTCCACTTTGCTCCCCAAAAAGCCCACATTTCTGGCAGGACATCAACCCTTGGACATCTGCACACCAGAAGACACACACACACACATGCAGATACATTCACACACACTCGAGCATATGCACATTCGACAGCTGGACAGTTGGACAGCCAAAGAGGAAGGGCAGATTCGTGCATACGTCCCGGCTGTAATTAGCCACACACAAATGCAGACGGAGATCAGCACATGAATAAACCACTCTCTCTCTCTCTCTCTCTCTCTCTCTCTCTCTCTCTCTCCCTCTCTCTCTCTCTTACCTACACACACACACTCAAAAACCACAGGACACACACATAGCTCTCGTAGAAAAGGTTTGGCATGGAGACAGCTCCCATCTGTTTTGAGCTAATTTAACATGGTCACTAAAACAAAGCAGACAAAGGCTGGTCCTGTGAATAATGATGAAGTGACTGTCAACTGAAAAACACTTCTGGCTCTTGTGTGTATGATTTACTTCATATGTGTCTGCTGGTTCATGCCGCTCAGTCAGCGCAGTGATTTGGTTTGGGATTAGAGTCATTTAAAACCCGTGTGTTTGTGCTACTGTTGTGTACTTGTACTGCGTGGGAGGAATCATGGGTACATTTTGGAAGACCACAGCGGGACTGATCCTGACTAAAGACTATCTCAGCTGACAGCTAGTTAGTGCAAACCACCAGTCAACCAATAAAATGTTAAATTTTCTTTTTTTCATTTAGTTATTTTTCTAGTTTGAAAAAAACAACATTCTTTCCGACAATAATTGGAACCAGCTGGATCTTTAAAATTATTGAACTGGTCAATTAACAGATTGTCATTCAAGAATAAAGTCAGGATCTAATGAAAAATCGGTAATTGTAAAAATCACAGTATTATGGGAATAAAGTCAGAATAAGGACACCATAAAAACATTATAAGAATACAGTGATATTGTCACAAAATTAAAGTCATGTAGTTATGAGTGGTGATGTGTTGGTCGCGGACGAACGGGTTCAAAAAGCTGGCTCTTTAACGTGAACGATAGGAGCCAGCAGAGTGGTTCTACAAGCAAGTCAGCGCATTCATTGGGTGGTTTTAGAGAGTAACAAGGGTCTGTAAATGCAATGAAAACAATTGGCTACAGCAGTGGTTCTCAAGTCCAGTCCTTGAGGCCCACTGTCCTGCATGTTTTGGATGTTTCCCTGCTCCAACACACCTGATTCAAATGATCAGCTCGTTATCAAGCTCTGTAATGGCTTAATAACGAGCTGATCATTTGAATCAGGTGTGTTGGAGCAGGGAAACGTCCAAAACATGCAGGACAGTGGGCCTCGAGGACTGGACTTGAGAGCCACTGGGCTACAGCAATTTACTGATATTAGAAAATGTAATTTTTACTTGTGAATACTTCAGTAAAAAGTATGTGTTGAATTAATGAAGAGGTACAGTGTGTGCTCAAAGACATACACATCATAAGCCAAACAACACAAAATGGGTTGAATTAGAAAATGTGTAAGTGGTAAAATGGAGAGCCGTTTGAGAGCTCTTCTTGGTGAGCTGAGCCAAATGATCTGGCTCACTAAAAAGAGCCGTAATTTACATCCCTAGTTATGAGAATGTAGCAGTGACAAATTGATAAGATCATGAGAATAAAGTTATGTAACGAGATTGAACTCAAAGAGTTATCAGAATAAAGTTGCATTTGAATCATCATGTCCCATTAGAGTCACTAATACTCAGTCTTTCCTGTGAGTCCCTGAACCTCATCATACCAAAGGTTCCTCTGGATCTCTGCTGCAGACATTTTGCTGCTGTGGACCCACCTGTTTTCCAGCTGCTTCAACTACATGCATCAGTCTCTCCCCTGGCCATCTCTCTCTCTATCTGCATCTCCCTCTCTCCCCTCTTTAAACCCAGCGCAGTTTCAGCAGATGGCAGTTTAACATTAATCTGGTTCTGCTTAAACTTTCTACCTGTTAAAGGAAGTTTCTCCTCTCCACTGTAACTTTCTAAATTCTGCCAAATGCTACACTCATGTGCACGAGGATCTGTTCTTACAGGATGGGGCTCAATCTTATCCCATCTTTCTATGAGGTCTGTGTAAACGGAGTCTGGTCTGGACCAGCTTTTTTTGGTTAAGCGTCTTGGGATAACACTTGTTGTGAATTGGCACTATATAAATATAAATGTCAATCAGTCTTTACAAATAAAGAGTGATTGATGTTACCAGATTGAAGTCATATTGTTATAAAAATAAAGATATGATAAGTTATTATTTTACAAGAATAATAAGAAGAAGAACTTTATTTATCCTCGAAGGGATTTTTTTTTTTCTGTTATGTTACAAAGTTAAATTGTTAAAAGGTTTTTTTATGAGAATAAAGTTGTGGTATCAAATTCTTGTGAGATTTCAGTTGTAGTAAAGTCACAATGTTGCAAAAATAAAGACACTTTGTTTCGTGAATTGAGTCATGCTGTCATGAGAGTAAACTCGGGATAAAGTCGTGGTTGGTTTTGGTTTGCTGGGAGCAGTCGGCTGCATAAACATGGAGTGATGGTGAATGGCAACATGTAAAATCCAAATATTAACACTTTGGAAAAGACCCTAAAACAGTCTTGGGAGCAAAGCATACATTGAAACATCAATAAGAGGTCAACACATAATGAAGTTCAGAAGTCCTTTGAGATAAGTTTGGACAACAGCCGGGTGCATTTTGAGCATTAAGCATATTTGATCTGGTCGGTTAACAAATCCAATTCAGTCAAATGCAGAACCTATGGAAAAAATTAATAAAAGATTTTCTGCAAGATCTCGCCCATGTTGTCTCAGGAGTCATTGGTCAGTGTATTACTTCTTTTGTGTCAGTTCAACAAAAATACTGGAATATACGCAGCTGTGGGAAAGGTTCATTGAATTTTATTTTGAACTCCATTTCTGCCCACCTTGTCCCTTTGCATGCACATAACGTCCCCATTTGGGACGTCCCTTGACCATAGAAATTATTTCAAATTGTCCTCCATGTCTCTTTTATAAGGAAACAGCGCCTGCCTCCCAAAACTGATTTGATATCTTTTTATCTGAGGCCAATCTAAAAAAAAAATACAATGAACCTTTCTCACGGGTGTGTGTGTTCCATCGTTTGGGTTGACCCAGAAGAAATACACTGATCTACAATTGTTTTACTTACCACTTTCTGAGATCTCACAATAGTTTTGCGAGAGCACACAAAAGATCTCGAGAAAATCCTTTTTAATTCTTTTGTCCTTCAAGTCCCCTTAGGGGCTTTGTAAAAACCAAATGTTGTTCTCTTCTTTCCACAAAATTAACCTTTAGCAAAACTGTTGAACCCAGCCCAAGAACATTTTGTGCATTATGTTGATGAGTCTGGGAAAACTTCATTTTCAGTGTTGAATTTGCTAAAAAAGAAAAAAAAGTGTTTCACGATGTTGCACAGCTCACAGTAAACAATGTGAATTTTATTGCGCTGTCATTTAACACTAAAATCAAGGTACTGATATTTTTTGTGTCTTCTGAGACAAGAGCTTGTGTGTCTCCTTCATGGCGAATGCTGCACATATGAACACAGACAGCAGCTGGGGAAATGGGAACTGTTGAACCGCATCAGTGTGACAGATATTATGACGGATGAGTGTATCATCTGAAGAAAGGAAATCCCGGACTCTCTGCACTCCTGTCTTCTGAGGTCAGATTACTCTCTGTCAATGATTTTCTGGATTGAGGTCAGAAGGTGAGGTTTGAAAGGTTACCAGAAGAAACAAATTATTAAACAGCCCAAACAGAAGGCTATGTGTTGAATATATGTCTTTGAAATGTAATGTTTGTCAGACGACTGTCTTTGCATTAGACGGTATATAGATGATGAGTTGTTGAAAGACGACAATAAAGGACTGGATGAAGAGGAACTTTGCAGAGAAAAAGCAGACGCACTGCAGCAACAGGGTGAACTGTTGCTGTTAGCATTTGGTTGTGATGACTAGTCATGTACTATTGTGAAGTCCTCTATGACTGTTCGCTAAGTAACAGCTTGATTACTTGGTTTTTGTGATCCACAAATCTGACACAGAAACCAATGTGACATACAGAAAGATCCTGAATTCAAATCAAAGACAGAAACTATCAGATTAAATATGACAATTGTTTTTTTTCTTCTGCTGTGTGACCCCGCTGACCCTCAATTGACTTCAATCAAAACACTTCACTCAGACTCCCCTTTGTGAGAAACGTGCTGCTCTGCTGAACGTCCTCACTCCTATTTGTGATGTGTTGCCTGCTGACAGTGGTGTCACTCCACGAGAGCAGCCAGGAGTCTGTTCATACACCATGACAGTCCGCAGATTCTTTGAATGCCTCGCACGGATGCTCAGGGGGTCCGGAGTGGTCGCCTCGGACACTGTTGCTCACAGTTACGTCTCAATGAGATCACACAGGGTTGCTGCTCACAAAAGAACGTCCTGCTATTCATACGCTGCGATAATTGATGTTATCTCTGGGTTTTATGCCTTGGTGTATCAGCTGAATGGGATCAAGCTGATGACTGTAAATCTGTTTCCATATGGCAATGACCTTTAGAGTAATAAAAATGACAAACGGTATGATGGACAAAACTGGTTATGTCTCATGAAAACTGCTGAGTGGGAATCACTTGCGGAGAGCTTTCTGCAAAGCTTTCCCTGTTCTTCTACTTT